GCTGGGGCAGGCGGCAGCCATGTCGCGAGGCCTTCGACAGCCCCTCGCAGCCTGGCGGGGTTCCCTTCCCCTGCTCGCTTGGCCTTGAGCATCTCTCCACCCGCCCCATGGACAGTTGGAAGGGAATTAGATGCGTTTCATGCCGGTCTCATCACCCCCTCACACAATCCCATGTTGACTTGGGAAGACCGCTCCTTCCAGGGTTAAAAGTTAACCCGCCGCCACTGTAGCCAAGAGCATTAATCTCATCTGAGCTCTCTCTCCTCCTCACTCTCTTTCATACCCCACATAATATATTCAGCAATTGCAGCCCATGGGGAGTATCTGATAATTACTTCCAAGGTGGAGYGTATTTGATTAAGGGAGTGTGTATAATGAACTGTGAAGAAGAAATATGAGGTATTGAAAAGAGGGAGGTATTCTCTGCAATGTGGTTTGACAAAATGAATTTAAAATTAGGAAGACAGTTAAGGAATAATAAATTATTTCCCCTCCTCGCGTGCTTTAGTTCCGTGTATTTTACAAATGCATAGCAAATGTGTTTTAGCATGCAGACCTGGTGTTAAATGCAGACAGAAATGTGAGGGAGAAACCTCCTCTCCTTGGGAAGCGTGGGGAGAGCCCGCTCGCCTCTTGCGGTTCCTTTTATCCGAGCAAGTGGGAAAAGTCCCTCCTTCCACACTCGCRTCTGCCTGATGATCTTGCTCCCATTCCTCCCACAGCCATTACTCATTGCCATGGAAAGCCCTTCCCTGGCAACTTGATGCAGAGAGAGGCTGTAATGAGGGTGATGGTGGAGAAGAGGCAGGTAGAGCTGCTGTGGAGGATGGAGGATGGAAGAGAGCGGCTGGTTACTACCCATGCAGGAGACCTTTTCCCCAAGGTGCTCCAAGGGACTTCTGATCTCACTTTCCATTTGTTTTGTGAAGTCAAGTGTGATCAGGCATATGCCCAGATCCTGAGCAGTGAGCTCTAGTTTTGCCTTAGTTCCCAGGAAATAGGGGGGGGGGGGGGGAAAGGGGGAAAGAAAAGGGGAAAACATTTTTTTTTACTGCTTTGGAAGACAGACTCAGAAGGAGGGCCGAGTCATGATGGGTTTGGTTATTTCCATCCATGGAGGGAAGAACATGGCCTAGAGCTAAGCATCTTTCTTGGAAGCTGGACTTGGAATTGAAAGCTATCTGGAAAGAAGGCTAGAGAAGAGAGGTCATATCTCAGCGTGATATCTCTTTCCTTCAGGAATGATTCCTTAACATAAAAGAAAAAAAACAGGACCTAGGAAGATGTTATAATAGAGTTTTTATTTGTTTTGTTGATTTTTTTTCTTTTAATAAGAATAGAAGGTTCTGAGTAAGATAGCTCTTCTGATAAGGGCTTCTCCTAACAGGGCCTCCTGTGCCTACGCAGGCYGCTTTTTGTTCTGATTTCTTTAGTGAGCTGAAGTCCCCAAGGGGATGATGATCTTCCACAAGGGAGCAGAGTATCTTGCACAGGGCAGAGCCTTTGGTGAGGCAGTAGGATCTTTGCTTTGCTTTCCYCAAGCTAGAATCCCGAAGCCTGGTGTTTGGCCAGGAGCGCCTGCCTGTGTGGCCAGGGAGCAGGGATGAATTTCTTTCCTTAGATGCTTTCATTTAGCTACCATCTGCTGCAAAATCTTGCAGAAATTTCTGTGACCTATAGGAGACTGATGTGCTGCAGCTCTTAAACGCTGCTGAGAAGAGCTGCAGGAAAGAAATCATTCACAGAGATAAGTTTAGTTAGGCCTGCAGCCTCTGGGAACCCATAAATAACAACTACAAATCCAGAGCGGCACTGCAAGAGGAAGCAGAAGGAATTTCCCAAAGCCCCCATCTCTCTCTGCCGGCCTTGTGAGCTAATGGGCCTTGCTTCGTTAGCAAGCAGAGGTGTGTGTGGCTCGGGCCAGCAGCCCCGCGCTGCCTTCCTGCCCGGACAGTGGTGACGTTGGTGCCAACCGGCTCGAGTGATGGCATCCCTGGGTGGGCGCAGACTGGCTGGGACAGTGGGAATGGGTGCTCCCGTGCACCACACAGATGGGTTTAGCTTGGCCTTGGGGTGGCTCTGGTGCCTTTGGCACCGCTCCCCTTCGGATAGAGGTGCCTGGGACAGGAGAGGAGTAGCAGCTCAGTGGGACATGGTCAACCAACCATGTTCAGGTCATGGTCATGGTCAACCAACCGCTTCAGGTGTCTGTGGTTTTTGGGTTGGGTTGGCCTGTTTTTTTCTTTGTTTGTTTTGATTTGATTTTTTCCTTTCTACTTGGATAGTAAAAATCAAATTTGTCAACAGCACTGGGAGATGGCCCTGGATGCAGGATTGCAAAGAGGTGACATCTAATCAGCCCAAATGGAGTTTGGACTCGTGAATAGGCTTTTATACTTACGATATCTTAGGAAAAAAAASAAGTCACAGGATCTTGTAATAATGAATTTATCAAGTTTATGAAGGCCTTGATTCAGGGCTTTGTTTGAAAGGCCCTAGTGCAGAGATGGCTGAAACAGGCACATAAATAAAACAGTGTCGTGAAACTTAATGTTTTAGGTATAAGGGTGCCTGCAGTCGGTGAGAAACACTGAGGTGCAAATTTTGGYGTTGTGTTAAAGTCATTATAAAAAAGACAGCATTAGTCCTTCGACCTGCCCAATTTTCTCTGCTGTTGTTAATCCTGAGTTCTCGTTGCATCCTGCTTCATTGTCAGCCTGAGGGTGCTGAATACATATACCCAGTGACTGAAGCCATTTATCATTTCTTCAACCACCTTGCTTGCAATGAAGAGCTTGGTGAAACAAGAGATTTTTTTCCTCTTTTCTCTCCTCTAAGGAATACACCATTGATGTCTTTTTCCGACAATCCTGGAGAGATGAGAGGCTCAAGTTTGAYGGGCCCATGAAGATACTTCCCCTGAACAACCTGCTGGCCAGCAAGATCTGGACTCCTGATACCTTCTTCCACAACGGCAAGAAGTCTGTAGCCCATAACATGACAACGCCCAACAAGCTGCTGCGCCTGGTGGACAACGGCACCCTCTTGTACACCATGAGGTAAGCTCATGTRGTGGACCTTCTGCGCCACGTCTTGGAGGCTCCTGCACACGGGCACTCGTCAGATGCTCCTACGTGCTTGCAAGATGTCCACCCATGCAGCTAATATTTGTCACTCGTGGTCTGCAAGGTAAGCAGACCTATAAAAGAAACACCAGGCTATTTATAGACTCAAGAGAAAGATACTGGGGTGTTTATAGAGAGCTGTAAATCTTTTGTTTTCCAAAATTATTTGCGGTGCATCCATCTCCGAGCAGATCCTCACTAATAATACACTTCATTGAGGCCTCGACGGGCTGAGATGCTGCACGTTCACCTGCTTTTAAGGACCAGACAGAATTTCCTGCCTTTGTAGTGGAGCTGGCTGCGAATCTGCAGCTTGTCAGCAAGTTTTACAAGCTACCATTGATAAACAACCCTGCATTTGTGCAGCAGTTCTGTGATGTGAGCTAATCCTGCCAGCACCCCGGGGGCCTAGATCTCCAAGCACCAGTGATCTCACGTTACAGATGAGGGCACTGAGGCATGCGGGGTGAATGAAGAGGGAAGCCCATCCTAGCTGCAGGCCTCAGGACTGCTCCTGGCTGTCTGGCCTGCACTGAAAAACTGGGSCTAAAAGTCCCCACTGCATCTGTATCATTGTCCAGAGTAAAATCTTATAGGAGCTATTAGTATGAGATGGTAAAAAAGGACTTTGTTTTAGGCGTTTTATGTCTTTTCACTCGTTCTTTATTCAACAAGCAGCCGTAAGCTTCAGCAAAGGTTGYGTGGCTGGGAAAGGGTTGGATTTGCTCTTGCGCCTAGGGCTGGAAGGTGTTGGGATGGCAGCATTGCACGGTCTCTGCTGGATTTGCCCGGGGCTGGTAGGACCATGCGCTTCCCAGGCTGTGCAGGTTCAGTCTGGACGGATGCAGTTTGGCTCCTCATACGTTTCCCACTYGTTTCCCTTGTCCTGGGCAGTACCTTTGAGGGATCAGCTCTGCTGATGCGCAGTTAGAGGCACATTTCTTTCTGTTTGACCTGCTGTGAAAGTCAACTTCTCTTAGTCAAGGCTTGCATTTATAGATGAAGTTGCTCTAGTRAAACAGCAACTCTGACACAGGCATCCAGCAAAATTGCACCTGTGTGACAATATTTATAGCTCCTAGAGGGAGCCTCTTTATCACTGACCTGAGCTTTTCAAGGAGCTACAAGCCAGCTGTAGCTGAGCATCCAAGGATTTCTTGTTGCCACAGCAAAACCTTCATGTGGATCGGTGTGGCGTYTCAGTGCAAACTTCTGATGACCCACCCCAGCCATGGCACTTGGATGGCGAGATGACCTTTGGGATTGCAGCATAAAAATGGTATTTCTCTATTCCACCCCCTCCAGCTGCTTAGTAGTGGACAAGGCTACTGTGCCATCAGCTACTTCCTTGCTACTCGGCATGCCTTAGACAGTCAGGGAAAGAGCACAGCTTTATTATGGAGCCCTGCCTCCGCAGCCGTGTTTTTGGAGCTCCTACAAGATCTGAGTAGTTTACAAAAGCCCAAGCAGGGCCTCRACACTCTGGTGTCAGAGCTGCGTGCAACAAACTGGGAATTGCTTGTGGGTTTACTTAAGGTACAGACAAAAACTCAGCCCCTGCAGCCATCTCTGGATGAAATCTCTAGCTGAAATTGTGTGAAGCAAATACATAATCTGKTTCTTCCTGGCCTTGAAACACATGAAGACAACAGAAGCTTGATGCTGTACCAGTGGGATTCAGCTTTGTGAATCCAGGCTTTAAAGAGCTCTTCTGCTCTTCACAGCGACTGTCAGAGTGGCATGTTGAGGCTTTGAGCTTATTGTCACAGTGGCTCCCAGACAATATGTGCTCAAGTTATGTGCTCGGAGGGATGCTTCCTCCAACCGCAGGGCTGGTGCGTTCAACCGCATGCCTCCAGAGCCCGTGCTGCTAAAGCCAAGGCGAAGGCCTTAGCAGCAGCGTGGCAGGCCTTGGCAGGGCTAGGCTGGAGGCGGGACAGCAGAGGAGCTTGGCACGAGGTGCCCGGGCTTTGCCCAGCAGAGCAGCGTCGCGCGGGCAGCCCCGCAGTGCGTGGCAGCCGCAGCAGCGAGTCCTGTGCATGGCGCAGCCCGCTCTGCATTGGTGATTCCCAGGTTCCCCTCTGAAATCCCAGCGCCCTGGAGGCTCTGTGCAGGCTCTGTGTTAGCTTCGCTGCCTGGTGTCCTCTCCTCCGGTCCCACGGGGATAGCTGGAGGCTGCAGCGTGCAAAACCCATCCACAAGGTGGAGGGGGCTGTAAACTCGGGGTGCAGCCGTAACCCAACCCCTGCAAGAACCGTGGCCTGGCTGCCCCTCAGCAGCTCCCTGGTARCGTGGACGGGCAGCTGGTTTGCTTGGAGCCGGCATTGGCGTTGGGCCTGCGTTTTTTCTGCCATCGATCTTCCAGAGTGGGTCAAGAGGGAGCAGTGAGACCTGCTTTCTAGGCTGGGTTTTGTGCAGTCAAACTCTTGGAAAGAAGACATTTCAAGATGCAGACGTCTCTATAGATCACCTTATTTCTGCCATCATGGGCAAAGTCTTCTGGCGCTGGGGAAGGATGTAATGAGAATTTAGGGCTGTCAGATCCAGTGCAGGGATCCTAGAAGCAATTTGGCTTCAGATTCAAAGCTGAGCAGTTAAACCTAGCCTAGATGTGCACACAGCCTAAACCGCACACACTACCYGTTTGGCCTGACTGTGGTTATTAATGACCCTCCTAGAGGAGAAATCAGGACAATATCCCTGGCATAAACCAAGTCAGCTCTGCTGCGCAGGGCGCTGTCATGTCTTTGTACCTCGTATACGCCGGGGGATTATTGCATTTGCGTCCCAGAAATTGGACTGAGGCTCTAGCTCATCCTGCAGCACGACGCAGGTAACGACAGGGGCTCTAATGACACATCAAAGGCTTTGCTAAGCTCCTGGTAACCATGAGAACCAGGCTGGAGAGGCCCGTGGGGCCGGGCCCTGCGAGGGGGATGCTCAGCCTCTCGCCACTGCGCCCAGCGCCTCGAGGGACTTCCTGGGACTGCAGAGGGAAAAGCAGCGCTTCCTTCCTGGATGCTCCGCTTTCCGTGTGGTGGTGCCAGCAAACAGACCAGCTTTCGCAGTCTGATTTCCAGGCACTTCTGGATTAGTTCTTGCTGGTGCCTGGGAGACGTGAGCCGAAGGGCAGGACAGCTGGATTATGCAGTTGCTGGCAGCATGGCCACTTTCCACCTGCTGTTTAGGCTTCCAAATGGCATTTCGGGGCTCAGAAGTCGGGACTTGAGCAGCACAGCAGAGCARTGAAGTGAACCTCTGAGGCTACCTGGCCGAAAGCTCCCTTGTAAAGGGTCAGCGCTACAGAGCATCTCTACAACAGGCTCTTTTACCCATATGCTGCAGAGGCTGTGGGAATGGCCTGGGAAGCGAGGCACATTCCTCTTGCTCTGAGATTTAACTCTGGGTTAGGCAAAGCCTGTGATGCTGAGGACTCGTTAGCCAGGCCGGGGCTGGAGATGGAGCAGAACGGGGAGCATCTGTGAGGTCCCAAGCAGCAACTGCTGCCAYGGCCCTTGTAAATCCCTGCTAATTAGTGCCCTGAAAGCTGGGAGTGTGCAGGGAGAGGGGCAGGAGGAGGAGCAGGACACAGCCCTGGAGCTATGGGAAAGGCATCCCAGCGAGGGTGGGGGGACATGAATGGAACCGGGSCAAGGGGGGCACCCGAGAGAGGGGACGACTCTGGGCCTCCCCCTTGGGCAAGAGGACTCGGCCTCTTCACGAGTTAGCTCTCAATGTGCTGACTTCTGCCTGGCCAAAACTGCTGAACACACTCATCTGCCGGCGTGATTTGGCTGCTCCTTTCTTATTTAATTTCAGCAGGCTTAAAAGCTGCTGCAGTTGTGGGTGGCAGAAGGTGGCAGATTAGGCTGCCTTTTCAGTGGTTTGTTGGTGGGTTTATTATGGTTCTGGCTGGCTGGCCCACCTAACACAACACACCTTGGTTTAAAAAATGTGCCTGCTCCTTTCCCACGCAGCTGCAGCATCCCTGTTGAGCTGTCCCCTTCCCGTCACAGCTTCTTGGCCCAGAGCACGCAGGAGGGCACAGCCTGGGCTAGCTGGTGCCCAGGTGATCTCTGCTGCTGTCCAGGTGAGGGCAGAGCGAGGCCAAGGGCTCCGTGGCCTCTCTGGCAGCACCAAACCACACCCTGGCACTGGAGCTGCAGCCTGGTGTGCTCGAGTTCAGCGTCTGCAGCCTTCTCCGGGGGCTGTTGCTCACAGCCAGACTTTGCAACCAGAGCAGCGGGTGAAAAAGCCCCTTCCTTTTGGGGAGATCTCATAATGTGTCAAGAAGAGTGCTGATCTGGAGGAGATGTCCTTTGGAGAGGTGGACTGGATGGGCACCCAGCTAAGATCCTTCTGACACAATGAGGCGGCCAGTGAAGCAAAAGAGAGGAAAGAGAAGGTTAAAGGAAAAGGTTTGTATGGTCTCCTGGGGGAGGAAGGGAGAACGCTGATTTATTCTTGTGCAAAAACAACATTATCTTTATGACCAATGACAGTGACAAATATTGTAAGCAAAAAAATCCATTGCACTTGGAAAGGAAACAGAGAGAATTGAGCGGTGAGATCATGAGGACGTGCTCAAAGTGCTTCCAAACGGTGAAGGTCCCCAGGTTCTCGCTGACAGAAGGAAGCATCACGCAAGGAACAGAACAGAAGGAGCAAAGCAGCCTGCTCTGCTGTTTGCTGCCAGGTTTTCACACCTGCTTCTTGAAGTCCCAGTCTTCATCCAGAGTACAAAAGAGAGGCATCAAATGGAAGGAGCAGTTGGCTGGTGATGACATTTGAGTCCCCGGGAGGAGATAATTTCAGCAGCGTGATTTTAGGCTTGTGGAAAGCACTGGCAGTCTTTCCATTGCCTTCGGTGGGTTTTGGGTGGCGTCCTGAAGCGCTCACCTCTGCTCCTCTGTCATGCAAAGCAGGTACAGTCAGTCCAGATGGCACAAATCAGAGGGAGCAATCAGTTTCAGAGCAAGTTACTTTGCACCTGGTGGTGRGTCTCTTGGGGCAGGGATTCGGTGTCAGCTCTTGGTCTGCAGAACAGTTCCCATGGGGCTGGGTGGTTGCTGGCCATGCRTGGGCTTGGAAAGGGTTTGTCAGGCTCAGAGAAGGGAAGACCCTTGGTCTCTAGAGCACTTGGTAGCCTGGGCGCAGTCTTGAATCATGGAAATGGGAGCCACTGGGTGCTCAAGGAGGAGAGCAGGAGGGAGCTGCTCTGAAGGCACCTGGATCTTGCATTCCTCTGTCAGCATCTATGGGTCTCCCTCAGACATGGAGTCTGCCTGTGTACACCCATTAAACCTCTTCTGATTGCCCTGGCCAGGGTATGAGGAACCGCTTCAGCCATGGATGGGCTGCTTGAGAGCCCTTGGGACCCAAGAATGGGTGTCACTCAAGAGCCAGCCCCTTGGCTTCAGTCTAGCTAGTGCCTGGGGAGGCTGTAGGACCATGTCCTGCTGCTGCGGAATAGTTAGGGGCCGTTCAGCAGAACGGAGCCTGTCCTGCTGCAGAGTTGTTGTTTTCTCTAGCTCCCTCCTATGTGGAGTGGCTGCTGATGCACCGTGGTGCCCCTTCTCCATGGCATGGGTGTCCCCAGGGGAGACAGGGCAGTGGTGCCTGGCTCTGAGAGAGCAGAAATGGACATTTACCTCAGCTGCATTAAGAGACAGGGAAGTAGCACTGAAGCACAGTAGGGAAAGCTTCAGGAGGCTCCTGGGCAACTACTTTCCTTTGCCAGGCTTTACAAGACCAGCTCTTGCGTTGCCCCACAGCATCCTCTGCCCTGCAGCACCGCGTCCCCGTGGCCATGGCAAGGGGGTGGCACACGGCAGCGCTCCAGCACGGCAAAAAGCAGCGTCCCTGGGGCACCGTCTGCACGGCAACCCCCTGCTGTTGCTGCTCCTGGTCGTGCAGGAGGGTTTGGCCCCGCTGAAGCTACAGCAGCGTCCAGCCCTGCTTCTCTGCTCCTTGGAGTCCTGTCCCTTGCAGGGATGTCAGTCTCGTAGGTCCTTCAAAAGAAGCAGGGGTGTCTTCAAGTCTAACGGATCTCACAAGCTGAGAGAGATGAGAAGGGCTGGAGGAGGCTGCCCTGCCACGTGGTGTGTCCCGTGTGGCGTGGTGGGCTGGGACCCACCAGAAGGCAGCCGAGGGGAGGGCAGACACTGTCAAGCTCTTTCCAGGAGCCTTTCATAGCCCTGCAGGACAATAACGATTCCCGGGGGAGCTAAAGCTTCCGTGACCTTCAGGTTGGATGCTGGTGAGTACCCCGCTCTGAAAGGGCCCTCCTGCCTGTCACAGCCCCACGTGCCACCTGCAGCAACCAACCATCGCTGCTGCGTGCCAGGGCCGCGGGCACCCCCGGCACCCGCGCCGCTGATTCCCAAAGAGACTTCCAGAGTCATTCGGGAAGGGCTCCGTTTTGTCCAGCMAAGCTCTCTGATGCACACCTTAAAACCAGATCTCTTTCCCCAAATCATTCAAGGTTTGTCCACGTGAAAGAAACCCAGACTCCTTTTTTTTTTTTTTTTCCCTGCTTAAGCAAAACCAGAAGCCTTTAACTCTTTATTTTTTGCAGGGTTTGTTTTGTATTTACCTGAGCCTGAGTTTTCCTCCGGGAAGGACGATTTACCTGAAACTTTCCAGCTTGCTGCAAGGCTATTTTCCGGCTAAAGGAAAATGTCTCAATAGAAGCTGTCCCCTGTTGCTCCTGACCTGGCTTTTCCACAGGCCACCTTCAGCCTTCGKTCTGTGTGCTTGCCCTTTGCATCTCTCTGTGGCTCCTGCCACATTTTGTTTGTTACTTTGCCAAGCCATCAGAAGTGGTTTCCATTACTGACCAAACAGATCCTTCAGAGGAGATCACATTTGACACGTCCTGCTCCCCTTCCAGAGATGCAGCTTTTGTGGTACTCCAAGAAAGGGCATGAGTTTAGACCTAGTTTTTATTAGAGCCTTTTGCTACAGATCTTTTTATGGCTGCCTTGTGCTGTGTATTTGGCTCTTGTCATAGTGGGGCCTCCCTCAAGCTTCATGACAAGCTATCCCACAGAGACCTGGGGGATGCACAAGCTGTCCTACTCCCTGTCAGGTAGCACCAGATAGCACCTCAGATGTCCCAGGATAGCAGCAGGTAGCACCAGGGGATGGATATTTGTGTGCATCCCCTGCAACACCATGGGCGAAAGGAAAGAGGCACTTCAGCCTCTGTTTTGCTCCAGGGGTCAACTTTGCTCCTCAAGCCCAGGAGCACTGTGGTTTCCTAACTAAATAATCTATCAGCACTCAGCTCCTTCCAGCAATCTGGAAGGGAAAGTCCATGTTCTGGGTCCTTTACCTTTTCTTCCCAGCGTGGTCTGTGGGCTGCYGCCTGGCACGGGTTGCAGCCGGTGTTAATGAGCCCGTTGTGCACAGTGCATAAGCAAACACAAGTCCTGGGCTTTGGCAGATCTTCCGATTGCRCTGAGTGAGTAAAGATGAACTCTGTCGATAGGGCTGAGTTTATAAAATGGGAAAGGTGGCCACGTCTGCGTGCCTGCTGCTCTCTGCCCAGCTGATGGCCCACGCTTGGTGAGCACGTTGAAGCTCTTGTTGCCTCTGATGGATGCCCAGCGAAGATGCCACGGCAGAAGGGCCAGGTGGGAGCCTCCACGGCCACGTGTTTCTGATCATGCCTGTTCTTTGTGTTGCAGGCTAACGATCCATGCAGAGTGCCCCATGCACCTGGAGGACTTCCCAATGGACGTGCATGCTTGCCCGCTGAAATTTGGGAGCTGTAAGTAGACTGAGAGGCTTCTGCGAGGAGGTGTGTACGGAGCTGGGGAGCAGCCCTTTGTGGGTCTAGCGTCTTCCCGTGTTTTGTTAACAATGTTACTAATGATGGCATTACTGCTAATGATGACACCACCAAAGTATTTCACACGTGCAATTCCTGGCATCATCAGGAACGGCCAGAGAGCATACCCGTGGATTGTTCAGGCTCACAGGCAGGGTTACACACCTGTGTTTCTTCTGTACGTGTCCTAGAAAAGTAAGTGGGAAGAGGAGCTTCCCATGGCCCTCCCTGCCTTTGGTAGGTAATGCTGCCTCTTCAGCACTGGTTCAGCAGGATCTGCACTGGTGGAGGACTCAGAGATGCTCTTCACTCATCACTAGATGCTTATGGCAAGCTGCAGGCAGCTTCCAGCTGTCCAGACTTACTGCTGCTTGTCTGYCTGGGCTTCCCAGGTTCCCTCCTCTGCCCTTTGTGCAAACCACGTTTCTCTCAGTTTTGGTCCAAAGGGAGTGAGAACCAAATTCCAAACTACTGAAGTTCACCATCATGTSGAAATCATTTCCCAGTTCATCTCTACATGTCCTACAAACAAATGCCACCCTCAACCTATCCCTGCATTAGACAAMAGTTGCCAAATTCCAGCTAAAAAGCTGAATGTGCCCCTACCAGTGGTCTCCCTTCTGGACTCTGGAAAAGCAGACGAGACACAGCCTTTCTAAACTGATCTTTCCTATCCTGTGACCATGTGGGATTTGTAGTTAACTAAGGAGAAAGCAGAGAAGTTTGATTGGCACCAAAAGAGATCGTGTTTATCATGTGCATCTGCTGTCTGCCTCATGACACAAGGCATCCATGAAGTTGGATTGTTCCAAACTACTAAAAGGAAGTAATTTCTTATGCAGCATCTAATTAAATGTGGAACTTATTGCCATAAGACATCACCCAGGCCAGTAAATTAGCAAGCCTCAGAGAAGGATGAATTATTAATGTTAATTGACCTTGTGAGAAGGGATGTTAAACCTCATACCTCAGGCATAAACTCTGGGATTATTCAAAGACTTTCACGTAGGCAGATTACTGCACATCTACTTGCTCTAATGTTTCTTGGTGAGGAAAAGAGATTAATGTGTGTATTTCTGCTGGAACATCCCTTGGGGTTTTTCTGGGTATTTTTACTGATTCACCCTCTGAATGATGGAAGTTGCGACAAAAGCAGATCAAAGACCTGCCCTTGATTAATATTTGCACGGGTATTTCTAAAGAGCCCATCTGAATAGCATCTGAGCCCACTTCTGGGATAGCGGAGCAGGATTTAAGCAGCGTACACACTGCAGAGTCCTCCACAGCTCGGAGCTGCTCATCTGCAGGTGGTTTGTGGTGGGCTAGCTTTGTACCTAGCAGGGCAGTGCCAGCGTGTCCCTACTGCACTAGTAAAGGTCAAGGAACTGTCCCTGTTCGGATGGTACCAGCTTGTAACGCAATTTAGAAATTAAACAGAACCAAACAGCTTTGGATTCAAGTTTCCATGCCTTGACTACGTGACCTCAGAGACCCTTCTGTCCCAGAAGACCAGGTTAATAGACTGCAGTGTTTCCAGGTGTGACGGCAATGTGGCCGGCAGCAAAACTRTGGGCCCGTTTCCTCCCTTGACTGAGGGTGACCGTGGGTGAACCATGAGGATATGGCCGAGGGTGTTGCGCATCAGAGTGGAGGTGCCGTGGCGGAGCTGTAAGAAGCAAAGCCTGGAGGAGGAAGTTCTCCAGGAGCATCTGGAGAGCTGCAAAAAGGGTGTAGCACATCAAGGGAGAGGTGCTGGCCCACATCAGCTGCAGCTTAGGCAGGGCACGGTCAGAGACACTGGCTGATCGTAATAACCACTCACGCTGCTTCTCCYAGTGTCCACTTAGCATTTGAGAGGTTTACCAAAAGCCAGGGTGCAGGGATAACAGAGATGGCTTTAAAAGTTTCAGAGAAAGCAGTTTGTCCACRGGAACAACCTTCCACAAGGCAGGATCCGAGAGATTTCCTGAACCGACCTCTTCCTGAATGGAACATAATACCTTAATTTTGGTGGAACAAATGAATGAAAAGCCTCTTCAGGTTTGAGCAGTGGCCTTTGCTGTGGCCTAAAATGGTGGTGCAGAGTGCACGTGAGGCTTGGATTTTATGAGGAGCCCACAGCTCCTAGTAGTGTGGGGAGACACCCTCTTCCTGAGCAGCGTAGGGCACGTGGTGGCATTGGGAGAGGGAGTGGACACAGGAACAAGCAGGGAGTGAGTGTGGTGAGTGGGACTTTGCAAAGGACYAAGGGAATGAGGAGCCTGCAGTCTCCAGAAACAGGTTGCTAATCATCAGGGCTCTTCCTCGGGCAAACCCTGGCATCTTGGGACCTGCTTGATGTTCTGCATGTGCCTGAAACCCCAAGGAGGAGGCTGGAGCTGAGGGAGGCACCACAGGCAGAAGGCAGCAGGTGGGGAGATGAAGTTGGAGGGAGAGTCCCGTTGCCCCAGGGAATGAGAGGTCATGGGGACAGCCAAGCACCTGCAGGGAGCACCCATCTCCATGGAGCATCTTTTGCCCCCACTGTGATGTTTCTCTTGCCAGCAGCTGCCAGTTTGGGTCTCCTGGGCTCGGGCAGGGCTGTCCTGCTGCCCTGCAGCCTGTTGCCCATTTTGCCTCTCCTTGCAGTGCCAGCCTGCCCAGGGGAGAGTGGTGCTGTCTGCAACGTGGCTCTGCCCTTCTCTTCTCCCAGCTCCCTTCCAAAAACCCCCTCTCCCTCTTGCTCATTGGATTAACATTTTCTAAACTGCCTTTGTCTCTAGCCGTGCTCGGCTGTGCTCATCCGTGTGGCTCTGAGGAAAGCTCAGGAGGGCTTAATTTGGCTGCAGGCTCATTTTGGTGTGTTTTAGATCAGCCAGAAGCATGAACCTCTTCTTTCTGCTCTGCAGATGCCTACACGAAGACGGAGGTGATCTACACCTGGACGCTGGGGAAGGATAAGTCAGTTGAAGTAGCAAAGGGTGGATCACGGCTGAACCAGTACGACCTGCTGGGCCACGTGGTGGGCACAGAGATGGTTCGATCCAGCACAGGTACTTGTAGGACACCTGGCCTGAGTGCTCTGTCAAGCGTGATGGACCCACGGGCTTTTAATGCCCCAATTTGGTATAAATGTAGAGGCAATGAGACACTGCAGTCCCTCCCAAGCCACCTGCTCTTGGTTGTGCGTGTCTTGGGTATTCACCAAGAGGCAGCAAAGTGCTTAGCTTTGTGTGGCTTCCACTGGCAGAGCCTTATTGCCTTCCCGCTCTGGAAAACTGTGCTTCCGAACATCAGAAAATGGTTTGTGGTATGGAAAATTTGCCCCATCTTGCCCTGCTGGTTCTCAGGACCRTGGGTTCATTTGTCTTGGATCTTTTCAGTCCCTCAGGGGAGTATTGCAGCAGGGGAGGTGAATGTAACGTGATGTTCAGTATGACTTTCACTGCATCTTCTTGGACAAATATTATCATAGCTAATAGAAGTTTCTTCCAAACAAATGTTTCTTCTGATTAATGACCAGTATTAATCATCTTTCTCTCCCATCTGCTGCTCCTCCCTTTTCTTCTGAATCCAGGTATTGCTGCTTCTGTTATTTTATGTATTTCTCATCTTTTTCTTTCTTTATTTCCTTTGTTTTTTTTTCTTCTGTATGCACCAGTAGTTCTCTCATTTGAGGATATTTCCTCTCTGGTGCACTTGATTTTAATAGTGTCTGTCTGTAACAACTCATATCACCTCCCTTGGGGAAATGTGGGGAGTCCAGGGAAGTAACCGTCATAATAGCTGGCTCATCTCTGACTTAAGTTGTAGTAAAATGTACAGATGAATAACYTGAAATGGCAAGAAAGCTGCTAAAGGCTCCTGTGCGTAATGATTTAGCAGGGCCGTGCTCACAACAAAAAGGCACAATAATCCAAGCAAACATCCAAAGCTTCACTGCATCTTTTTGAGCRTAGGAATAGGACAGTGAAGGAAAACAGGGACGGCTGGTCCTTTGGTTTAGAGCTCAAACCTTTTTCTGCAGAACCTGTCCYGATTTTTGTGACGGTTGAAGTGTGAGGAAAGGTGGAATATTTGCAGAACGGTCAGAGAAAACACAATCCTTCGTCCTGAAAGCCTCTTGACACAACGTTAGGGCCTCTCTCGGTTTCAGGGCCTCACCTAAGGATGTGTCAGCCTGGGCTGGGGGAAGAGGGAGGGAAGATGCATCAGGAGCAAACCCATATCAGGAGCAAAGCCACATCAGGAGCAAAGCCACGAGCTGCATCTCATCCCCGGGGCRGAGAAGGGAAAGCCCAGGCCTGGTCTGCCCGTGCCACCACTGGCAGCACATTAGAGAAGCCCAGAAAAGTGCCTGGAGAGCACGAATGCTCTGCCCTGCCAGCTGGTGGAAGCCACCGTGGGCTTATGCCCAGGCAGCAACTCGCCTGGTGCAGCTCTAGTGCTCACAGCCCTGGTGCACGTGCAGTTTAGCCCCAGTGGGTGCTGCCACGTTCCCTCTTCATAGGGCACTGCGGGCTGCCCGCAGTCCCATAAGGTCCTGGGACACCAAAGCTGCAATTTCCTCTCATGCAGATCCCGAGGGCTTGAGGGTTGCTCAGGACAGCGCTCCGGGGAAGGTTTGGGGCTCAGCTTGCCCCATTGTGGGGAGTAACCRCTGTGCTGCTGCTGTGACCCACTGTCTCGCAGGGGAATACGTGGTCATGACTACGCACTTCCACCTCAAGAGGAAGATCGGCTACTTTGTGATCCAGACGTACCTGCCCTGCATCATGACGGTCATCCTGTCCCAGGTCTCCTTCTGGCTTAACAGGGAGTCTGTTCCTGCCCGAACCGTTTTCGGTGAGTCTGTGAGCGTGGTTGCATCCTGTCACGTAGGGGAATAGAAGCACCCCAAACCACAGGAATGACAGGATTGGGTGTGAGATGAGGAGCGGGCACCAGGGCTGGCAGTGTCTRCTAGGCCTTGCTGGCATCAGTGAACCTGGCAGCCACTTCCCAGAACAGCTCCCTGTGTCTTCCTCGTGCTGCTGCTTCCCAGAGCTGCTGCAGAAACACACCTGTGCTTCTCCCCTCCTCCTTCTACAAGCCCCACCGTAAATATTAATTGTAATCAAGATGTTGATCATCTGGTTATATGCAGCTAGCTGTGTCTGCTCGTCTCCGATGGCTTCGAGCTAGGAAGAGGGGAGGTATGTGGGGAAGCTTTTAAGGATCTCCCTTTGCAACTACTTCTATGCCTGTGGTCAGACCTCCTCCTAACAAATTCCTGCGCTGAGGTGGTACAACCGCAGCGTGAATTTATTGGTGGTGTTTTCTTCAGCTGGCACTGCAGGCTGGCACTGCACATACATTAAGAGCTGTGACAGATGTTTGGTGCCAGAACTGCTCTGTGTTGTCCTGCGAGGCCCTGGGATCGGGATCTCTGCTGCAGAAGCAGGCAGAGCTGTGGGTAGTGTCGGTGTAGGCAAAAGGGAGGGTGTAGACCAGCATTTTGGAAACACCAGGGCTCTGGGAGCCAGTTAAGTGTCCTCTCGTGTCCGTGGCACCCTATCCAGAGCAGGTGGCTGCAGGACTCTGGTTGTGGTTGTTTCTCCACCCCAAACTGCTTTGCGGTTGCTAGCCAGGAATATGTTTTACCAGGGCCAAATGCAGCTGCAGGGTCAGGTGGCCCACGTGGCCAAAACTGCTTTCCATAACCCAGACCCTGAGAACTGCACGGAACAGTGTTAGTGGAGGAGCRTTGGGTGCCGCTCCTTTCGCACCTACGTTTTGGTGCTTTCATCCAGCAGGATGAAAAAGGGGAGCTCAGCCAGGAGGCAGAGAGGAGACAGGACTAGCTCAGTCATCCAGCTCACCAGTGATCTCCCCCGGCTCGCTTCCCCATGCACCCATCACCCCACACAGCTGACACCCCAGCCCCACTGCGAGCCCTGGGCAGGCTCCTGTGACTGCACCAGTCTGGGCGTCTCATTGTGAGGGAAGACTAAGCGAGCTGGGCCTGCTTAACCTGGAGAAGAGAAGGCTGAGAGGGGATCTGAGCAATATGTCTAAGTACCTGAGGGGAGAATGTAGGGAGGAAGGGGCCAAGCTCTTCTCAGTGGTGGCCGGTGACAGGACAAGGGGCAATGGGAATAAGTTGAAACCCAGGCAGCTCCATCTCCATGTGAGGAAGAACTTCCTTCCTGTGAGGGTGMCAGAGCCCTGGCMCAGGCTGCCCAGGCAGGCTGYGGAGTCTCCTGCTCTGGAGATYTTCCCAACCCACCTGGATGTGACCGGGTGCCCCGTGCTCTGGGTGTCCCTGCTGGAGCAGGGGTTGRACTGGGTGATCTCTAGAGGTTCCTTCCAACCTCAACCATTGTCTGAGTCCACACACTGCTGACACCTGGAGGGAGCCCTTTGTGGGGCATGTTTGATTGCCTCTTGTGTTATCCTGATATTTTTAATTAGATGGGTTCTTTCAAGTAGCTGCTCAGGTTCAGCAGGAAAAAAGCTGATGGAAAAATTAAAACTTAACTTTGTGAAAAATATCTAAGCTTCCAAATTGCCTTGCTTCGGAGTTCTCATTATTTTTTTTTATAGCAATTGCTTATTCCATTTTTTTTCTCCGCAGAAAGTATTATCAACAGTATTGCTAAAACTCCTCAATTACCAGGAGTATGGCTTGAAGGGAGTGAAAATTAGTCAATATTTTTATGTTTTTAGAGCATTTCTAAAGGAAAAGTATGTTATTAGGGAAAATGGATAGTAACGGTTGCTTGCTTTAACAGCAAAGCTTTAAAAGGCATTTTTCAACAGATCTTTTTTTTTTTAAGAGAGTCTTTGACAGTCATCCTGGGCCACTCACTCACTCCTGGTCGTGCTGGCAGGACAGCAGGTCTTGTTGTCCATCTAGGTAGTTCACAAAACATGGTTTTTGGTATGTTCTGAGAGCCACCTTGTCTCATGGGTTTCTGCTTATCTGTGAAGAGGACGTGAAGATGTGAAGCTGTTTGCCAAAGGCCACCTCGCGCGTCAGTAACAGAGCAGGGAGCAGGATTCAGTCCTTACCGTGGCCTGTGTCCTGCCCTCTCATCCTTGGCAATTCTTGTCCCGTGTCCTGCTCACAGACACATCGTGCCTGACAGGTGAGGTCCATGTGCAGGGAAGCCCCCAGGACAGAAGCCTGCCCGTACTTCTTACATCTTTAGCCATGTTAACGGTGGCACCTTCTCCTCTGCTGAGGTCACAGCTGTGCACCACGCCGGTGCAACCAGGACAACGTTGCCTGCTGGCTCTTTCTCAGTGAAGACAGCGGACAGATGTTGGTGATGTGTGTGAGATCCCTCAGCGTCTCTGTTTCCCCTTCCTTCCACAGGGGTCACCACTGTCCTCACCATGACCACCCTAAGCATCAGCGCAAGAAACTCCTTACCTAAGGTGGCGTACGCGACGGCCATGGACTGGTTCATAGCCGTCTGTTACGCCTTTGTGTTTTCTGCGCTGATCGAATTTGCCACCGTCAACTACTTCACCAAGCGCAGCTGGGCTTGGGATGGCAAGAAGGTGCTGGAGGCCCAAGAGATGAAGGTGAGCGCCGTGGCCGAGGCCAGGGCGGGAGGTGAAGAAGCGCCGCACGAGAGAGCTGCCCTGGGACCGGGAGTGGGTAGCGTGCAGCCTGGCACCACTTCGGAGGCTGGATGCTACTCACTGGGTCCTCAGCTCAGGTCTCAACTGCAGCGGTTCTTGAGGGCCGAGGGGAGGCGGGCTGGGTGCTGCAGGATCCTGGCTGCTCGTTTGCCCCTCTGCCATTCTGCATGACCGCTGACCGGTGGGAATGTGCGTGCAGCTCTGCCTATCTCTGCCTTGCCTGTGGGTGATCTCCCTCCTTGCTCCCCCGTGTGCCTTGGGAATGCTCCGCCGCACGTTGCTAGCGCCCGGACGTGCTGCAGGATGCCAGTCCTGCCGGGGAAACCGGTGCTGCTCCGCTGTGCCCGAGGCCCGGCGGCCTCCGCGGCCTCCCGGGCCGGGGCAGCAAGGGCGGAGGCGCCGCGGGGCCCGCRGCTGCTGCCAGCCGCTGCTTTGTGCTCTCGGGCCGAGCGGGTGCGTGGCACGTGAGCGATCGGAAACGGCACCGGGCAGGAAAGTAGCGCCCGGCGTCACCCACGTTTTCCCCTCTTGCATCTGCCTTGGGATCAGCCTTGTGGCTGCTTCCCCCCGGAGAGCCGCCGCTACCCCGTGCTCCTGCCCTCTCCCACCAAGCTGACTTAATGCGGCCTGCATGGAGAAACCGCTTAGTGCAGCATGCAGCTCCTTGTTGATGTTTATTGAACCCATTTGAAAATCAGCTTTGCCCCTGTTCTTGCTTCTGGAGCCTTTTCTGCCTTGCATTTTAATGCGCTGTTTAAAATGGTTGTGGGGCTGCGTTTTGGGAGGACAACACCCAGTCTGGTCGCTGGTTTGGAGGTCACGGCAGGCGAGCAGAGWCCCAATGGAGAACCACCACCACCATCGGGTGTTGAATGCCTCTCTCTTGTTTCTTGGACTCTCTACCTGTTTGCTTTTGCAGCTGTGCTCTGAGCACCAGGCTCATGGCAGAAGGCYCCAGAGGAGTCCGGATGATGGTCTTCCACCTCCATCGTGAGCAATAGCACTAACCTGGCCCCTAGAGAGATCAGAGGACCGTGTCACAGAATCACAGTATGACTGAGGTTGGAAGGGACCTCTAGAGACCTAGTCCAGCCCCCTGCTCCAGCAGGGACACCTAGAGCATGTGGTGACCTGTTTCCCAGGTCCCTTGCATCGGCTAAGGATGAGAGCAGGTCCTYAAGGCAACTATGTCCTTTTCAGTGATGGACAAATCAGCACAAAGTCAGGATTCACGTAGCCTTGGACGTCTATGTGAACAGAGCCCAGCTGAAAAAAATAAAGGCTCAAATTTCAGTCCATCATTAAAAGTAAAACCTCATACACCTTAATTTAGTCCTTGACTCAATACTGCAAAACTAGAAATGTTGAAACAACAGGGTAAGACCATGCACAAATTTGGTGCTCTTGGTAAGTGAACAAGTAGGCAAAATAGAAATGAAAATGGGAGCAGAACTTGTGCGAGTGTGTTGGAATTGGAGTCAGGCTGGAAAATGTCAGGACTGCAAATTTACAGACACCTTCTCGGGTTCCCTGTCCTCTCCACCACGTGTTTGATATGTGCTGCCAAGCACCCTCCCAAGAAGAACTTCCCAAAGAGTGATGGGCTTGCAGGGACTTCGCAAATACGATGCCTCACTGTGTTTGCCCTTCATCTTGATTCCATTGAATACCTGCAGGCAGAGAATTCGCTACGTAATGAAGGTGCCTCATTGGCTCCATTTCAGCCTCTAATTAGCTCTTCTTGCAACAATTGACAGCCCAGGTGGTTGAAACGGCAAAAGGAAGAGGAGGTAGAAGAATAACTATTGGCATTTTCAAGTGTATGTGCCAGCAGTAAAACTACCAGTAACGAGCCCAGGTTGAGCTCCAGTCTCTGGAGAGCAGTCCTGCTAGCCAGAAGGAACGCTCCTTATTGATGTGGTAGCAAGGAGACCTCTACAGGTTTAATTGGCTGCTTGTGTGAACAAGGGAAAAATCAGCAGGCAGCCCCTCACTTCAGATGTGGGCAGCAGCAATGTTTCTCATCGCATTTAAAAGAAATGGCAGAAGTTGCTTGTCACTAAACGGGGTTCCTGCAGCGGTCACTCTATCAGGGCTTGTTTCCTTCTCTTTATCCATCCATCCTTTCAGGGGATTTTATGGGGCAGAGCTGTTTCTGAGGTAGAACTTAACACGATGGGCTGATCTTGATTGTGGTGGATCAGGGTTCTCTGTATCATAATTGATTGCCCTGGCCACAGACAGTTGATSTGTTCACATCTGCCTGGGAGCTACTCTGGGATATCCAGATATCACCATACATCTTTCTGTTAAGTTCTTGTAGCCTCACTCTACTAAGMTCTGGCTAATGCTTCTTGGAGGATTTCTGAGCCTGTCTGGTCTGCCGCCACTAATTCTAAGCGTGGATGAAAGATTTTCCTCTGTTTTTGTGAGGCAAGAGTGGCTGTGACCAATTCAGAAGTAGAAATCAAACTGGAAAGAAGTATCTGGGTGCAGATAACTCGTTGGTGGCAATAATTTTACAAATCCATCACCAAGTATCAGGTAGGAGATGGCAGGAGTTYGGGTAGGAGTGAGAGGCCAAAGTGAGCCAAAGACAACTGGTTTAACAACTGGTTCCAGAAGCCTCTCAGGAGAGCTTCACTACCAGATGCAGGGCCTCTGGACAGAAYGATCCAAGTGAGGCCCTGTTGAATCCCATCCGTGCATAGGGCTGTCCATCTCTGAGGCCAGAAGGTCGTTTCCCAGGTGGCTGTTACCGGTGTGATGAAGATAGTTGACCCGTAATAGAATGTTTCCCGCTGGAAGTTCATAAAACCTTCAGACATTACATTTACCRGGGGAATTTCCATGCAAACATGTCATGTCCGTTCCTCAAGATGAAGTGTTCTTAGAAGATGCCAGCATAAAGCCCCTTCCATGTGCAGTGTCATGACTGTGCATAACAATCGGAGTTATCTCTTTATGTCTTAGTATCTACACTTACATGTCATTGCCCTGAAATCCTAGGACATATAAGAGACAAGAACAGGTACAAAAATACACACGAGTACAAGGAAGAACATACTGGATGGAGAAATAGTCCTGGGTCTTCAGCTTCCTCATTCTCAAGACAACAGTCCTGTAGAACATGGTGAAAAAGTTAAATACAGGCATTTTGTAAGTTTTTCACATGTACTTTCACTACAGGGAAGTCACCAAAGGGTATCCCCCAGACCTCTCAACTGATACYATCTTCTCAGTTTGCTTGTTTCTGTTCTGGAGATGATTTGCACCACGTTCCTTTTCTGCTCACCGTGTTAAGCCAAACCTTTTGTCCCACCTACTCATCCGTAATTCTGAAGTTTGTCCCCCGGGTGCCTTGGGAATCATTTTCCCTTCTCTTTTGTTTCTTTTCCTGTGTCCCATCTTTGTTGCTCTCCCCTGCTTGCCAGTGGAGAGGAGTTAGAAACAGCCATCACAGCTCACTGTTTTCAACCAGTTTGAGGTCTTACAGAGTGGTTCAGACAAATCTCTTTTCTGCCTCGCTGTMGGAAATAGATGTTTGTTGGGACTCTTGCTGAGAGTGCTCTGCAGGTCCACGTCTCCTGTGTCCTACTGTACTTGGCATTACCTCCACGTTGGCTCCTCATAGTGCCCCAAGTGATTTATATTCTCGGCATCCCAAAGGTCCTCGTGTATCTCACACCATTTCACCCTCTTTCTTTCAGCTCTGGCTGTCACAGGGTGCTGGGCTTATCGACTCCTTCAAATCCCTGAGTCTTCCTGTGGAGATCCAGGTAGCATGAGATCATTGGGCTGAGTCCCACCTAATGAGAATGAAGAAAAGATGGGAGAGATGGGAGATGCCAGAGGGCACCCTCGCAGTGACAGCAGTCTGGCATGGTTGTAGCCAGCTTGTTCAGGGAAGATTGCCCTGTTCCGAGCCCGTGGCCCTGCGCCAGGTCCATGCATCTCAGTGTAAAACACTTTGCTCCTGTTTGAGAGGACCAGGCGTCTGGCAGAGGGCAACTTTGGTTGGCACGAGGAAGGTTTGGAAGGAGGTTTTGAATAGGAGGAAAGATGTCAGAAAACAGATCTGCTGAAAGGACATTAAGGTGATTTTAGAGAATGGCTAGTGGCAGATACCTTGAATTTATCAGTACAACCCATGACCCACTGATAATAGCATTGGGGACCCTCAGACTGTCCTGTCAAAGGGATTTTTTTTGCAACACTGATCAGGAAACAGGTGTGGAGAGAAAATTTCCAATAGTTCCTAAACCAAACCATTAGTTCCCATAGCTTTAGATATTTGGGCTTGAGCTCCATGGCMGTGGAGCTTGTAGACAATGAGATTTAATGAAAAAAACACTGCGGCAGGCCAGTGTGTGTGTTTGCAGGACTTGGGTCAGTCCCACATGGTCCAGGGAACATCTGCACCTCTAGAGCAGCTTCCACAGAGTTGCCCCTTGGAGAAGAGCACAGAAAGAAACTTTGTCCAGTGCCTTGGTTTCCCTGGGCCCAAAGTGGGCCATAAATGCAGGACAGTACAACAATGTTTTAAATGGAACAAGGTTTTGAATACAAATCTGAGATTTCCTCCCCATTTTCCACTCTTTCCTTCTGTTTCATAAGGGAGTGGAGCCCCTCCCAGGTAAACTCACCAAGGGGAGGCTGAAAGCTGCTTTGTAGCTGGCCACGGTGAACGTGGTGTCCTTTGACTGCTGCAGTCTTTCCTGAAATATTTCATTTATAAAACACAGGCCAGTAAGCCTCAAGCCAAACAGTATCTCTGGCATTTGAGGAGCTTCTTTCCTTACACGTTTGTGCCTGGGCAGGCRGAGGAAGGTCTTCTGGAGCCTCTCTGCAGGCTCCCAGCTCTGCAGAGAGCAGAAAACGTCTGCAGGCAGCTGCAAAAAGCCCGTGGCTGTAGCCTCCCAAACCTGTGAGCTGCTTGCAGACAAGCCCAGGCTGATGCTCAGCCTCTGAATCACACTAATAGCTGCAGTCTCTTGCTGTAGCCATGAACAGCACTCACATTTGCCTCGCTTCCCCCCCATTTCATTTTAAATGTCTTTGGCCCAGCAGGACAGATTCACATGCCAGGCTCTGGGGCAGGAAAGCTAGCCAGGTTGAAAATGTCATGTCACTTGTAGTCATCTTATTCATGATTAATACTAAAATTACCAGAGTGTTCTTCATATTGCATTCTGCAAACAGTCTGCTTTTCATTTCATTACTGATTATTAATTGTTTTATTAACTCCTGTAGCTATGTTAATAACTAATCATACTTAAGCATACTTAAATATTTCAGAAGGTGAGACATTTTAAGTCCTTTATTTGCTTCTTGTTCGCTATTTAGCTGGAAAAGTTCACGTTCTGTGCAGGGGGTGCAAGTTAACATGGCTCCAGTGACTGCAGAAATCAGTCACTCAGTTAATCATTAAAGATCATAACAACCCTTCCTGCCTTGCCCTTAAAAGACTGTGAATATGGTCTGATCAATGGTTTAGTCTGATTTGGAGTTTAAAGACATTTCAACCTCCCTCTAAGAGCAGGTTAATTTCTGTAATTGCTGGAATTATAATGAGACTGCAGGCCTAGCAATGGGGTTATTGGACAGGGTTTGAAACATTGCACAAAAGTTGTTTTTAGTGCCCCACTGAAAATCATTGTGGAAAATCCATTTCCTAAGGCAACCAGAAATATCCATGGTGATTGCAAACACATTTGGACTGGAATTGCAGCATGAAGACTCAATCCCTGACGTACCTCTGCTGGGCAGACAGGATGTACTGGGCTTTCCAGCTCCCAGGGCCAGGCTGAGCTCCTTCCTGCACCTCATTCCCAGGTGAGGGTGTCGGATGAGCAGGTCCTGCTGGCAGCCACTCGACCCTTCGGCAGGAGGAAGCCTCCCTTTGCGTGTGGTTCCCTCTGCACGTGGTGGCCCCTGCTGGGCTTCCTCTTGCAGACTTCAGCCAGCTCCAAGGAGGCCACGTGGCCACCTCTGCAGAGCACCCACTGATGAGTAAGGCAGGGCAGACATTCCTGGAGAGCTGGCAGCACCCTCACCCTGCACCTTCACATCCACGTAAAGCCGTGTAAAGCACCCAGGAGATGCCCAGCTCAGTCCTACCTTGTGTTTCAGTTGCTTTTGAATCAAAAATGAGATTCCAAGTTACACCTTGTTCTGAGTTGAGGTTTTAGTTTCCCACCGTGAGTCACCACTGCGTCTGACTCCGGTTCTTGGCAAGGCAGTGGACACAGCTCGGAGTACACAGGTGCGGGGATGTGTAGGGTGCCTGTTGTCTGCATATAAATAGATCTGATGGACTTTGCTCAGTAGCCCTGGATTGCTTTACCATACAGCAGCTGCTCTCGAGTTCCTGACAGCGCCAGAAAGATCCTCAGAGTGGAAGCAACAGCTCTTAGGACTTCCTAGCCCCTGTCTTCCTGTCCACTCTTCTTCATTAACATCTGAACCATTTGTCTTAAGCATCCTCTGTCTTCTGTCAGTACATCGTGTCTAGGGCATAGCTAGTACATCTTTYCCATTTGCTGTACAAGCTCTGTTGCCTTCAGCATGGACAGCACGGTTGTCCCCCGAGCCTTTTGGGAAGACCTATCCTTTTATTTGAAAAAAACCTTACATGAAAGGTTCTATCTCTCCTAAAATGCCATTTTGAGCAATTGTAAAATCCAGAGCTAGTGGAAATGTCCTCAGTCTGCTTTGTATCTTAGGTAGGTCATGAGAAGCTAAAGGGGCCCAGAGGCATTTTGGTGGTTGTGATTTTATACTGTGCGTCACTATATGAGGTATGCAGGGCACTGAGGCAGGGTGAGATAGCACCTTGTAGTATGGTCCAAAAATGTTGTGATGTTGTTACCCACATTCATCAGGCTACTATTTTTCTCCTACAAAAAAAAAAAAAAAAAAAAAAGGAAATATAATCCCCTGTGATGTCTCTGTCTCACATGACCCTGGAAATAGGCTGGCTAAGCAGCAAATCAGGTTCTTCCCCCAGGCGGACCACACTGTGTCTCATTCTGTTCTAAAGACTGCATGCACCATGTCCCCACGTGCAACCCGCGTGTGTAACAGAACGGAAGCAGGGAGCACGTGTATCTCCTGTCTCCCGAGCCTGCTTTCCCTTGCCCCGGCCCGGCGCTGCCGGGATGTGCTGTGCCTGCCCCCTTGTGCCCCCTGTGCAGCCAGACGTCTTGGGCAGCTGCTCCTCTGATGCAGGCACACACACCGTTCCATACCACTGCTCTAAGGGGTCACAAAGCAGCTTGGCTCCAGTTATTTCGTTTGTGGCAGAGCCTCGCACCTGTCTGCTGGGGCAGGACCTCTCTATGCCACATGCTGCCTACCAGGCTCGCTCGGATTAGCTGGTGTAATTAAGGAGAGCACCACATCCCTCTGCTCCAGCAGCTGGCATGCAATGTCACAGCTTCTGACCATCTTCTCACCTCACTTCCCTTCCACAATGACTTCTTGCACCCTTCTGCACCTTGTCATCCAGGCAAGCAGGTAAACTCAGAAGACTAAATGTTTCCAGTGCAGTTCTGCAGTCACCTCATCTCTTAATGTTTTTTCTTCCACCCTCCCTAGAAAAAAGAACCAGTGGCATTAGCAAAGAAAACCAACAACACCTACAACATCGTTGGTACCACGTATGCCCTCAACATTGCTAAGGACCCCGGCCTGCCCACCATCTCCAAGAGTGCTGCTGCCACTGCTACTGCCACCAACGTTCCCCCCAAGATGCCCCGCTTGGAGGAGAAGCTCCCRGAGAGTAAGAAGACATATAACAGTGTCAGCAAGGTAGACAAGATGTCTCGCATCGTCTTTCCAGTCCTCTTTGCCATTTTCAACTTAGTCTACTGGGCCACATACGTAAACCGGGAGTCAGCTATCAAGGGAATGATCCCCAAACAATAAAACCAGTCACACAAACCTTCCATCAGTGAGTACCATCCAGGCAGGAATTCTCCAGGGCTTTCTTCTTTCCTATTTTGTTTTATTATTGTTCATTTGATATTATTCTTATTATTACTATTAGATCTTTTTTTAATGTAAACAAAACTGTGATTTTAATTTAATCTCGTATACATATAGTTTCTTCTTATTCTGTCTCTAATGATGAAAGGAAAACAAGGATCGTAACAAGTTGTGCCTCTAACATCATGAGTCTGATGTCCCCCGTCTGTCCAGGTCTCCTTCACTTCCATCTCTTCTCCACCTCGTGCCATACGACCTGCCTGCATGTCACCCATTCCCATTGCACGCTACACTCTGCCGAGGCCGCCTGGTGTGACTTGACTTGCCTCCCTCCTCCTCCTCTGCGATGGACTGCCCTAGTGCGGTGGATGTTCCTGGTGACTCAAGCTCAAGTATGTGGAGGCCTCCAAAGTCGACTCGTTGGCTGGGTTGGTCTCCAGCATCTGGTGCTTTGCGCAGGGTTTTCCTCCCTGGGCAGCAGCTGTGGTGGCAGGTGAGCTGGGCTGCGTTTAGGGAGCAGTGCTGCACGTGCTGGAATGCAGCTGAGTGCCCACTGTGGGCAATCCAGCCCTGGCAGGTGCTGCAGAGCTCTTGAAAGGGGGGAGCAGGATGGCAGTGTCTCGCAGGCTTCCTCCTTTGTCTTCACCAAGCGTAGCTGCACATTTTCTCCATCTCTCCACCCAAACAGGAGCAGGTAAGGAAGGTCATCTCTGTCTGCCATGGTGGACTCTTGGGGCAAGTCAAGTTGGAGAATGGGGTGATTTCTACCAGGGGAACACTCTTCTAGGCTCAGTCAGTGATAGACATCAAGAGGGGAGCTTTCCCATTCCTTGGGAGAGGATATAATTGGTGAGAATGAATGCGTTCAGCATAGGGCTGGAAGACAGAGCTCATGTTCTGATAGCAGCTTTTCGCTTTCTTTTGGCCATATCTGCTTGTCCTTTTTGACATCTCTTCTCTGTGCCAAACCCCTCTTCTGCCTTCCCATTCACCTTCCTTCCTGTGGTTGCTCAGCAGTCCTCAATATGAATCTGGCCGCTTGCTGGTGCATGTGAAGCACCAGGCCTCTGAGATGCTCCTCGTAGCCGGGGGGACAGGGGCAACCTAGGGGCTGCTGTGCTGCCAGTATGGAATGAGAGAGGGATGATCAGTGCCCAGAGACCTGCCTGCACCCAGTGAACCCGATGCAGCAGAGCATCTTCCGTGCCATGTCGTGAAAGGAGTAGGGGCTCCTTTAACTAGGAGAGTGATTCTGCTGCACCTCAGTGCTGCGTAAGCCAAGTGCCATCCCAAAAAGCCGATGAGATGCAAGTCTAGAACCTAACTCTTCCCAGAAAAGCCTTCCAGTACCCCAGGCAGGTTTTTTGTCTCCCTTCATGGCCACGCCATTGCTGGGGCTTGAACCAGCAGTGGGCCAGGGATCCAGGCCGCCTGCCCTGCTGCCTCCCTTGCGGGTGCCCRGACACAGTGTCCTGCCAGAGCTGCATCTGGCGAGTGCCCGTCCCAGCCCACCCGCAGTGCTGGTCCTGCCACGTCGCCTGTCGGAGCCTCAGGCTGCCTCATGAGCCCTCCGGGCATGTTCTKCGTGCGGGCAGCCAGCCTGGCACCCCAGCATGACCCGAGTGGTGTCCAGGGTGCTGCTCTGAGCAGCCAGCTCAGTTTCACCCTTCCTGTAGGGATGGAGGCCACCCTACCTGGGATGGAGGGGGAGCCTTGGTGTTCCCCYCACCTGGAGCATCCCTGGGGACAGCAGGATGGCGCAGGGAGGCCAGGYGCTGAGTCCTCCCGTGAGGATGATCCTTGTGAATGTCCTGCTGACTCTTAGCTCTGTGGCTGGCCCAGCAGCAGCGCAGCCTGCCAGCCACGAGGCACTTCCTTGCGGAATCTCCTGCGATGTCATTTTCTTAAATAGCCTACATGAAGCGTATCTCATAAAACATTCATGTCACTGTAATACTCAGGCCTAAGTGAATGAAATAGAAACCCCATACAAGGCCAAGCAAACACAATAAAATGCTAACAGAGTATATTGTGTTTACTAACAGAATTATATCAAATGCAAGTTTGAAGATGGGATCCAGTGGCAGCTGACTCACGCAGGCCCCGGAGCAGAGGCGCTTTCCTATGTTATCCTGGGCATCCCCAGAACCCTCCAACTCGAGGACAAGTCCTGCCATGCATCATCTCGTGCCCGTGTGCCCGTAGCACTGGTGGTGTCTCTTGCTGCCTGCTTGGCAGAGCTCCCCTCACAGCTGGGCTGCCTGTCCAGCCCTGGTGTATCCCACTCCTGGCGCTGCTTCCTGCCCAGCCRGGGCCTCCGCAGGGACAGTTTCTCCAGGTGCAGATGCAGGGAGAGCCCTGGCACTGGGTCATTGGGCAGTTTTGAGGATGCATTCCCAAGACAGCTTTGGAGTAATCTCCTTAACCGTGGGTGATCTTTGCTGTTCCACTTGGAGCTGTCAAGGTGAATCTCCAACCTGTTTTTTACATGCATCCATTCTCCATGGGTGAATGGACCCATTCAAGCTTCGGGTCCGTTGTTGCTCCCATAGCMCTGCCACCGACCTGGCTTGCTGGTGACAGGCATCTGCTGCCTCTTCTGTGCTCTCCTGGGCTGGGACGATGTGGCTCTCTGCCTATTAAAAGGTTCTCTTCCCGGATCTGCACTAGCGCTAATTGAAAGCCAAGTCTATTCCCACCAAAGCCTGGCACTGGCTCTGAGCCTTTTTGCCAGCTGGACGCAGAAATACTGGCGTCCTTTGGTTAGAAACAACAAACCAAACAGGATTTGCAGTTTGGCTCCCAAACAGGGAAGCATTTTGGGAAGGTAGTTATAAATAAATGGTTTAACATCTCCTGCCAGCAGAAATCACAGAGAAGACAATGCTCTCTCTCTCTCTCTCTCTCTTTTTTTTTTTTTTTTTTTTTTTTTTTTTTTTTTTTTTAATCTGACAGAGGCTCAATTTGGGACATTTCCTTTCCAGCCAACACTGGGCTGTTGATAGGCTCTTCTTTTAAGGGAACTGTAGGTCAGAGCTAGCCTATAACCTAGCATGTGTTCCTGCTGTTTATGCCTTGTTATGGTGGTATTTAAAGGCTCCATTTTTGCAACTGGTCGTATATATGAACAGATCTGTACAGGGCTGTTGAGAAGGGTCGAGAGCCTAAGCCACAGAGAGCTGCCTGTGCAGAGAGTGGGCATGTCGTTTCCCCATGGACCTTGATACTCCAAAGTCTGGTGTTCTTCTGACAAGCCCCGAAATCTTCCTGGGCTTATGAGATTCTCCTGAGAAAGAACTGGAAGTCTTCAGGGGTGATCAAAAAGATCTCTTCAGTTTGCATGCMTGTATTTTAACTTCTGTTGGGTGAGTGAAGTCCAAAAAGTAAGTTGCATTCTGATTACCTGGAACAGCAGACAGTGCTGAAAGGAAAAGCTGGACTGTTTCCTTCTGAAAATGTCAAATGGCCATTTTGGCCCTGCAGCATCATGCTGGCAAGAGCAGGGGCATGGAGGGCTTTGCTTTGGGGAGCTCCCAGGCACACTTGAGCCAAAACACTCCTAGCAGGCAGGGGAGGCAGCACGTGGGGGCTGCGAGGGCCGTCAGTGCCCTGATGATTCCAAGAGGTGACAGGAGAGAATAGTCTCTTAGTGCCACCCTTTCTTCTAAAGGACTCGTCCAGTTATGGTGCCTCACACCCACGCAGCTTCTCTGAAGAGGCTTCTTGAATGCCGCAGATCAGGACTGCATCCCCCAAGGCATCGCTGCCCAGTTCTGCTCCCCTCTCCCCACACTCACCACCTGCCTCTGCCACTGCCGAGGTTTTACAAGGAAGTGTCATGGCCAGAACATGTCACCACAGGCCCAGTCCCCACTAGCTGGTCCCTGCGGCCACACCTTACCCCTCACCCCAGATCTCTCCTTTTCCTGCTGCAGAGGAGAGGGGCAGCAGTTCCCTGTCCCTGTGGTGGTTGCTGAGGTGGGGAGAGCTCAGCCAAGGCAAGAGGCTTGTTCGTGCAAATGTAAATGCTCTGTTAATGCTAACGTAGGGGAAAACAGCCCGAAGCGCGACAATTCACCAGCCCTCTCTCCATATCAAGCTAAACTGCGCCTGAAGGCATTTTTGGCAAGAGGCCACTGCGCAGATGAGTTTGATGGCTTCAAGGTATAAATATTTACTATTTGACCTTGTTATTGTTCAGTCAGCCAAGGTTTTTACATATGCGTGTGTGTGTTTATCCTCCCAAACCTTTTATATCTAAAAATCAAGCTGTTCTCTCTTTGGAAGAGAAAATGGTCACTTTTAATTATTCTGCTTGCCTCTCATTCTCCTTGCTAAATCTTCTGGGAGGAGGTGTGTCCTGCTCAGCAGCTTCTGTCCCTCTGAGCTGGCCTCCAAACGGCGCCGGGGGCCCCTGGCAGCAGGGGAGCAAGGAAGAAGAGGTGTGGTGGTACCTGGCAGCGAGTCGCTGCCCAGGACCACGTTGCTGCTGGCAGCACTGCTGAGCAGCCCTTGTGCCACAGCTTCTCCTGGCATTGCCCGCCGGTCCCTGGCCGGACACTGGGATGTTCCCAATGCGACCGGGTCTTGCATGCAGTTGAGTGTTGCGAAGGGCTCCTTGCCCACGGTGCCAGGCTGGTCTGCAGCCTGTGCCCGTTCAGGAGGGAACGGAGCCCTTCGCTGGGTCTGTTTCAGCCCCCATGTCGCCAGAGGAGCGTCACGACTGAGGCTTGGGCTCCTCTGTACAGGGGACCACGAAAGGGGAGCGTTGGCACCGTTTCCACAGTTCCTCCTGGCTCTCCAGGTGTGACATGCTGGAGGTAGCCATGTTCACCAGTGGGTGTCTCTTCAGCGTGTGGCTTCATGGTGGGTCAGTCACCGGCCTGGGCAGCACCTGGGCCCTGCGGAGGGGCCTGTCCCCAACCTGTCCCCAACGTGCAGCGCACTCCTCCTCCCGTGTACGTGGGGAGCTGTGTGGGGAGCTGTGACTGTCCCCGGTAAAGGGGATGGGCAGGGGGCCCGCGCCCGGAGCGGGCAGGAGCGGCCCACACGGCCACGGGGCCCCGGCCTGCGCCCCGGTGACCCTCCTGCGCCGGCCGTGAGCCGCCTGGCCCTGGCTTCACGGGCCATTTCTGCTGGCGGGAGGTCTCTGAAATCTGCTCTGCCCAAGAACTGTGTGCCTTGCCCCCCAGCCACCTTCACACCCCAGGACTTCCCTCCATTTCTGTTCCTCAGTTACCCTCCACTTGTTCCTGCCCGCCTTCTCCCCCTGTTACACACTTGGTCAGCCACCCATTTCTTCATCATTTCTCTCCTTCAGTAACAGCCCATGGTAGCCCCTGCAAGACCCTGGCCTGCTCCAGGCCGTGGTCTGCCACAGCACTTCTCTGAGGCCATCAAGATGAGTGAGCCATGGGCCACGGTCAGTGAGCAGCATCCAGTCCCCTAGCAATGATGCCCAGCTCCGTACCCATAAGCTCTTTTCATCTTCTCCATCTYGGGGGAAATACTTAGACCGTGGCACTGCACTTGCTCTCATAGCTTCTGTGCTCCTCATGTCCTGCTGGAGGAAGGCTGTTGTATTCAATGGTGAGCACCTCCTGAGCCTCACGCATCCCGCACATCACAGCAGAAACCCTCACCATCCATAAGCAAATTAGACTGGCTTTGCCCCCAGGTCTGCATGTGCCTCTGCCCCACGGGCATCTGTGCTGCTTTATAAAGCAGAGCTCTTTAGGCTTAGACTAGCCTAACATTTGACCTGTAAGCTTTATCACCACAACCTGGGTTATGCTGCTTTTTAGGCCRAAATATATATTTTTTTCCACGGTGTCCCAGCCTCCATCCCTGCAGATCTCTTCTGTGTACAGCCTTAATTAAGGATCTCGGCTGCCTAGGGAGGGAAGCCTGGTCCCAGCTTTGCAGAAATAAGCCAGGATGCTCCCACTGCCTTTGAAGGCTCTTGGCTCTTTGCTGCTGCTTGAAGGTCCTGTCAACCTGAAGAGCCCATTGGCTCGTTCTCTACTGCTGGCAGCGCTGTTTCCTCCTAAATGTCTGTCAGTTCCTCCTGTCTGTTTGCAGGGGACCCAGCAACTGTAAAGGCAACTATATATTGCATAATTCAATTTTGCAACCACTRAAAAGGAGGAGTAGAGTTCTAAAACTTGAGTCATTGCCACATCCCCTCTGCCAGGTTGTGCTTTGAGTTGTAGGATTCCTCTGCRCAGGCACAAGAGAGACGCTGAACCCTCCCAGCCTCATGTGGGCCATCTTGTCAAGTGGCCACGCAGCCCCTTCCATCACGTAGACTCTCCCAGGTGACTGACCCTGGCATGTCCTCGGGCAAACCCCTGATCTGAAGATGATGGCACCAGCCATTTCTTTGGCTGCAGCCCGCGTGTGCGGTGCTGGGAAGGTTGCTTGAGCAGCCCCTAGGGCAGGCCATCACAGCAAAATGCCACCGCACACGCTYATTGCGCTGCCCCGGGCTGCATCTGCGCCCACCGTGTCTGTGCCCATGTCGTCTCTTTTCTGCTCCATCTTGTGAGACTCTCTTCATTCCCCTACAAGAAAGAATCCAGCCGGCAGCAGTTTAATGCATGACAATCCTGTTACTACACCTGTAAATAATTAACAACTAGAGAAAACTGCATTTTCTAATTTTTGTTGACTTTATTTTCTCTATTGACTAGCTGTTAGCCACTTTCTAAAGGGATTTCTCATGGAAACTGTGACCTTTCTCTTCCTCTCTATTTCTCTGTCTTTTTTGCTCCCTCTCTCTTTTTCTCACTCTCTCTGTCTGAGTTTAGTGTTTCAAATGCTTTTTGGTGCAATGTTCAATGCCTGTTTGTATTTTTGAATCGTATTTTTCAACCTTTGCTGGAAAAAGAAATTGCCCATTCTAACTGGCAGGATTTTGAGTCCTGCCGTTTTTTTCAGCTTTTAGCATTTTCAGTAAGTTAAAGCAAGAGAAAAAAAAAAAAAGTCTCCAAATTACAGTGAAGTTCTGAAGAGAGATCAGAAAGCATCAGAAACAAGAACTACATGAGTGAGCTGAACAAGCTGAGTGGACAAGGAGGACTCTTCCGACCACCTGTTAACCTTCTGATCTAACACGTATAAGGCGGGATTAGACCTCTTCACTGAAGTAAATCACTCCGCTTTTCCACTCTACCCACTCTCTTGAACTCTGATCGAAACAAATAAAAATTCATATTTTAAAAAGACTCTGCACCATTATTTTTTAAGGGTCTTGCCTTCAAAGCCAAAGGACCTCACTACACAGAGGGGTGGGGGGCCAGGAAAACCAGCCCCTCTGGGCTTCAGGCTATCCGTGCCACTGGGGAGTTTGTCCCAGTGATGAACAAATGACTCGTGAAGAAAAAAAATATATATTCCAGGGGAAAATAAAAGGGCTTGAAACTCTTCCTTTACTTCCATCGTATYGTGTTTAAAATGATGGAAGGGGAAAGTGCCTGGTTATTTTGTTCCTCTCTAGAAAAACTTGC